TTCCTCTGAGTCCGCACTTTCGTGACGTAATGCTGCTTTGACTGTTGGGTAGAAGTCTGCTGTGGAGCTCGCCCCGGTGCGGGCTCAGCAGAAGTGCGGATCGAGGGCGCATAACAGGCGAGCACCCTTCTGAACGCTAAAATGACGAACGGGACACCTTATGGTCTCGTAGACTTCACAGACGCACGCGGGAACCACTGTAAGTCCGTAAGACACTTGAAGTGCACATGAAGTGTTCCATTTGGGACAGGGCCTGAGTACACCTTGCGGAGCTCCTCTTGAAGACTTCCGGGGCGATTTATTGTTTTATCAAAAGTGTGCTTATCGTCGGCGTTCTACTGTAATAAGTAGGCAGCATTCAGTAAAGAGCTTTGTGATTCATACAAGAGAAACGCTGAGGAAAATTATATGGATATGAACATTACTTCTTCTGCATTATTACATTGATAATCTGGAATGAATATGAAAGCACTGTGTAAAGTTCTGTTCAAAGGTAAGATTTTGCATAGACTATGCCCATCATGATAAACAATGGAAAACAGGGTAACGTTTGTCTGTTTGTGTAATGATGCAGTATAGCACTCCTGACAGACAACTCTCTTTCTAAAGGGCCATTTTCATATCGCTATGCATGCATTACTTTCATTTAGTTCAAATGGTGACATCATGAACTAAAACTACAACTTTCATTTAGTTCAAATGGTGACAGCATGAACTAAAACTACAAGTTTATAACACAAAACTACAAGTTACAACCCCGAACTGTGTCTGGTTATGTATTAAGTCCAGCAATAAGTCCAGAGTAGACCAGGAGAAGAATTGGAGAGCCTGCACACTGTAATCTGTGATCTGTGAATCTGTGAAGACACAAATGCATGCATCACTCTCTCGAAATCATAAAACGACAAAAATGGCTTGACTTAATTGAAAAAAGCCTGATCTGACCCCTCCTTTGCGTCACGCTAATCTGCAGTGATTGATCTGTTTGTCAAATTTTAACGACTCATCAAAAAGTACCCCTAAATTTTTTACCATGGATTTGCCATGAATAGATAAAGGGCCTAAATCAAACTTAGAGGACCCATATGTATTTCGGGGTGCAAACACAATAATGTTTCATTTCAGTTTTAGATTCATTCATAAAAATCCCTAGTGAGCTACTTTCCTTCTTTACTGGCATATATTTATGTGTGTCATCACCGTAACAGTAAAATGATATGC